TACGCAATTAATTAATTAATTACTTAACATACAAATTTGCGAAATTAAATTATTCGATATAATTTCAGAAAAGTGTGAATTCATTTTAATTTATTGAGAAAAAAATTAATTTAAACGACTTTTTAAAAAAGTATTACGACGGACCCTAACGTAACGTTAAATGTTTACGCGTAAGAATGAAAAGAAATCGTGTAAAACAAATTTAATCGAATTTTCGCGCAAATTTTGGGTCATAATTAAAAAATTATTGTCTCGGTCTCACGTAGGAACGAATTCGTTTTATCGAATTCGTCGAGATAACGACTAATTGAAAACATTTTAATTTAACCATTTCTTCTTCTTCTTCTTCTTTTTCTTCTTCTTCTTCTACTTTTCCGTTCCTCTTTTTTTGGATTTTATACAATTATTTTAAGCAAGAGTTACACCCAACAAATAAAAGGAAAAGAAAAGGAAAAAAGAAAACAATATATTTATAAATTGTGCATTTGAACTTTGGCGCGTTGTTAAAAACGTTCAAAACAACTTTTTTAAAATGAACAAATGATATTTTCCAAAACATCAATCGATAATTAATATATATATTTTTATTAATCGACAAAAGGTCCTCTATCGTGTGTGTGTTTCTTTTTTTTTTCTTTTTTATATGAAGAAAGACATACCAAACCATTTGTCTCTTTTAATTTTGTTAACTTTATATCTTTGTTCATAATTTATTTTCAATTTAATTTAACAATCAACTGATATAACGTATCATTCAATGTAAAATACTCCTCTGGTCAATCGATAACACTCGAAATGTTTTTCACGATACTACCCTCTTTTCTTCTTCTTTTATTTCTTGTTTTTTCTTACCCTTTGAATAGGATACCGTTCATTAAATGAGATGCGTACTGGTCTTTTGATCTTCGAATGTCTATCCAATAAAAGAGTATTTGCTTTGTTCTTTCCTTCTCTTTTTTATATTATTTTCTTTTTCTTTTTCTTGTTAAATGCACGATTGGTATACGTTGAGAGACACATGAGCGTGTGAAAGGTATCCACGTAGGTTAAAGAAAGGGATTTATTTACAAGTATTAAACTCTCCCACCTTTGTTACTATCTCTCTCTCTCTCTCTCTCTCTCTTTTTTATTTTATTTTTTATTTTATTTTTTATTTCCTTCATTCTTCTTTCATCTTCACTTTTCTTCTTCTTCTTCTTCGTTTTCCTTTATCTTCTTTCTTTTATATCAATCACCGAAACTGATTTTTTTTCTTTTTTCTTTTTTTTTTACCAACATTTAAGAATGCAAGTGTAACGTTGCAATAATTATCCCCGGACTTTGACATTTACCTAAACTAGAGCTCGGATTATCTTCTCGATGAACAAACGAATGTAAGGTATCGTTTAAAAAATCACCTTTACATTTCAACTCCATTCTCGAATGCATTTAATACGTATATATTTATTTTAAACACGTGTATACGTTTAATTTGTAATATGTAGAAAAGTATAATACATATATACATGTGCGTATTATAATAATGTAACGTAGAAAATTATATTACGAAATAATAATAATAATAATAATAATTAATGCAAGTATTCATAACGTATTGATAATTAAGTTAAACCAGACGATTTGTCGCCGTTCAATTATCACGCTTGAATTCACTTTGAAGATACGAAATGATTCTATCCAACCAATTGGTTCGATCATCTGTAAAATGTGCTCACCCTTTATTTTCTTCCCTGTTCTTTTTATCACCTCCCATCATCTCGCTTTCTCTTACTCTCTTTTTCTTTTTTTCTCTTTTTTTTTTTTTTATCTCCGTCTAAATAGTTTTCTCTATATTTTTCTTTGAATTCAAAATTAGCGAAAAAATAGAAAAAAAGAAAAAAAAGCAAACAGTAAAAATAGATCAATCGAATCGAATCGAAGTTACGAGACTAATCGTTCGTAAATTCGATCGACCTTGGAATACTCGACACGTAGTATATAGAGTTCTTGATACAATGATAATGTCAATCGAATAAATTTAACAATTGTATCGATTTATATGATGCAATTCAATCATCATTGGCAACGGTGCCATCTTGAAAAGAAAAATCTTACGGAACTTAACTTTATATGATATAATCGAATAATTACACTAATCCAAATTTTACGAAGCTTTCTTCCTTTTGTTTCTTTTTTTTTTTTTTACGTTGTCGATAATTTTTTAACAAAAGGGAAAAAAGGAAAAGAAAAAAAGAAGTATATATATTACCCTAATGAATTAATTTTCACACATTAGAATTTAAACGATATATATAATAATGAAATAAACGTTAGTCCTTATTAGATCTGACAAATTTCACTTTAATATACTGCTGTCTCATGTCGGTTATGAGACACAATGTATTCACATTATGAAGAAATGATTTGACTTACTTATACATTGGTTAGTTGATTTGACATGAATTGTGTTAAATAATAATGAAACGTAACGATTAAAGTTCACTCGGATTGTCACTTTTATTATTATTCTTACATTACTTTCATTCAAAAGACTGCCGACAAAAAGAAAGAGTGAGATAGATAGAGGATGAGAGAGAATCTTTGTAAGATGGAAAACCAATCGTTGTTTTTGCAGTTAGGGGCTAGATTTTTTCGCCGAATGACCTGGGGAATCTGCGCGAACAGATTGTGTCCTCCTCTCTTATTTAAATGACGACAAAGAAACAAAGATGATGAAAACGACAATCGTGAGATGTGTGTGGTGGAGGTTCTTGGCCTCGCATGGAGGAAAAGAGATCATCCATGAGAAAATAGATATCTGTGCCAAATCCCGGTGACTTTCCATTGCGAACTCACTGTTCTAACGAAGTCTAGTCGATCTGCTCGTTGAAAAAATGATTAGAACGGAAAATTAATCCAATGCATTTCCAAATAATCATCGTTCCACGTTTGTTTCCTTCGGCAATAAGCATAATGGATTAGAAAATTCGTAATTTTATCAATGTATTCGATACATTTTATACCAAATTTAATTATTTATAATATTAAATGAATAATTTAATAATTAATATATAAATTTATTTATATAATATAATCTTACGTTTATTGTGTTATTCGAAGTATCCTCCATTATTTTCGATGACATCTTACAGACAATTGTCGAATTATTTGACCAAAATGAAAGATGGCGATTTTAATGGAATGAATTTAATATCAGGGCATCGAATTATAATTGCTATATCTAATACTTTTTTATATGTAATCATCGTATAAATGTTTCACGTAGGTAATGTAATCTTAATACGTTATAAAAGTTAATTTGGGAATGATTTTTGACAAATTTTTGTAGAAACCCAGTTTTCTTTATGCACCGATAATTATGCAGTTTTAAATAAAATCGTCTTTTATATTCGTATTATTAAAATTACACAGACTTTATATGTAAACTAATAAATATCTTAAAAACGTCGAATTTTAAAAATATCACAAATATAAACTATTGAATTATAAAATTTAACTCTTCCCGCGTTTAGAAAACTTTGAAACTTCAACCATTAGACGTCAGCCATCTTGGAAGCAACACCACAAACGTTATCTACGGACTTAAAGAAAAATAACGGGAGTAGAGAAAAATTATAAAAATAAAAAAGAAAAAGAAAAACTAAATAAAATGAAATAAAAAATAAAATAAAATAGAATTGTAACTTCATATTCGAAAATAGATCGGAAAACGAACGTACGTTAAAGTTTGTCTTCGTAAGTAAGTATATATATATATATATATATATATATACACAAGTATTGAAGTAACTACGTAAGGAAGCACGTGGCGTGAGTTTATCGTATTGTCGAGAGTTAGTTATTACGTTATTTCTTCTCTAATTAGACGAAATAAAATGACGGCATTCTTGAATCATCGTCGTAATATACGCATACCGCTTTCTCAATCGGCGAACGATTTCTTCTTATCTTCTGTAATTCGACGAATCCTTTCACATAAGAAAAACAGAGAAAGAGAGAGAGAGAGAGAGAGAGAGAGAGAGAGAGAGAGAGAGAGAAAAAGATGGAGGGAAGATGGGAAGTTAAAAAAGAAGAAGAAGAAAAAAATATGTGAAGATAAAGATGAATTTAATACAAGATGGAAAAAGGAAGAATAAAAATGATAAGAAAAGAAGGATAATATCGGACAAACTAGATGAAAATAAGAAATGATGGTAAAATAGATGAAGATTAAGATGAATTTTATATATACAAGATGGCGGAAGGAAAAACGAATAAGATGAAGAAAGAAGAAGAAGGATGGATGGATAGAAAGAAAAAGAGGAAAACATTGAAAAATGAGAAAATGAGGCATAGAAATAAAGAGGGGGGGGGGAGAGAGAGAGAGAGAGAGATAATTATTCTTAGGAATGCGTAACATAAATACGAAACGGAAAGTTACGGAGGCGATATACCCGCGTGTAATAATTCAAAAGAGGCCTATGAGATATTCAATTGATAGTCTGTCGCGATGATGATACTCGCGATGCATCAATTCCTTCCACGCCCATTGAATTGATTTCTCCCTGACTCTCGTAGACTCTTGGTCGCCTTTCCAAGTTATAAACACGCACAACACACACACACATATAAGCTTTCTCTTTTTTTTTTTTTTTTTTTTTTTATTTCTTAGTACAGTGATCCGTTCCAAGAACGGATCTGTCTTTCTATCTCTCTCTCTCTCTCTCTCTTTCTTTGATGCACTTAGAACGTATTTCAATATTTTTTTTACAAACAATTTCCAGCAAAGCGGAAAATCTTTTTTGACGTATCGCACGAAGTCGACACTGTTTTCGTGTTGCGCGCTAACTCTATCATTATTTTTATTTTCTTCTTCCTCTTAATTTTATTATTATTATTTTTTTTTTATTTTTTTATTATTATTATTATTATTATTATCATCATTTGTTTGTTTGTTTGTGTCATTTGAATTATCTTGCCTTTTTTGTTTTTCAATATTATACAAATAATTTACTGTTCAGACGGATTCAAGAGCGACGTCGTGCTTTGGTGTAAACTGCTATTACCGCAAGCAGCAAACAAGAGAATTTACAATTTGCAAAGTAAACAATTGATCAAATTGTTCGCACGTATATTGTTGCAAGACGAAGAATCCATGTTGGAAGATCTCGAGAATGGTGATATTGCCGAAACTATTCGTATATTTTTCGACAGTAGCACCGCTGTCACTCCTTCAGCCAAGAGTTTACTCACTATTCAAGAGGTAATTAAGAATATTAGGGTGAACCAAAAGTTATTATACGTAAACTGCATGTCAAAATTTACTTTGGAAATATGGTTAAATAAAAAAACGCACGAACTTTTTTGTTCACCTTAATAATTTCATTCGTTTTATATTTTACATTTGCCGTCGAATTTTTTCTTTCTTTTTCTTTGCATCGCGTTATTCGTGTTTATAAATGCTCGAGTGAATTTTTGAAGGATCGATTTTGAGTCCCCCTTCGTCCCGTAGGGATCAGAAAATGTAACATTATAGCCGACTAAACGGATTTTTTTGTTCTTTTTTATCGTCCGTACAAAATCTCCATTTTGAATAAAATAAACAAACGTCGGGGTCAAGGTAGGATTTCGTCGTCGAGATCCTACTTCGAATCCAATCAGAAAAAAATATGAGAATTTTCCCTTGGCCAACTTTTCTTGATTTCTTTTTTTCTGTTTCTTTTTCCTTTTCTCGTCGAAAACAATTCGACCCTTCTTTAAGCCAACTTCTCAAAATGTATTTTCTCGTTCTATTTCAAATCCACTCGTCAAATCTAATATAATTTCTTCTTCTATCTGTTTGTTTGTCCGCTCGATAAAATTTTCTCTTTAAATAATGCAATGGAAATAGAATTTGTCATATTCGTGATTTTTTTTCTTATTACTTTGTTCTTCTTTTCAATAAGATATAAGTTCCTTTTTTTTTTTTTTTGACTATAAATTATTATAGGTCGACCAATTTCTCGAACATTTGTCGCATTTAACGAAGGAGGAAGAACAAATCAATCACTTTAATTCCATTATTGGTAGGTAAGTAATGTATTTTGTAAAAAAAAGGTTTCGTACAATATTTTATTTATAAACATTTTTTAGTATCTTGTATTCTGTTATTTTAGATGTACCGGAAATGATTTGAAAATGATTATAAGGCTTATAAAGCACGATCTTCGAATAAATGCTGGTCCTAAACATATGTAAGTAGTATTTTTTTTTTTTTTTTTCCTTTGTATTTCTTTCTATAATTATGCAATATATAATTTATCAAAAATTGTTCTATTTATTTTATCTATTTAATATTATTTATGATAATAGTCTTGGCGCCGTTCATGAGGATGCATATAAAGCATTTCAAGTATCAATGAACTTGGAAACAGTCGTGGAACGATTTTTACCGAGTACTTCTTTACCATCACCAACTTCAAAGAAGGGAATTACTTTATTAACTTCACCTGGAGGTAGCAAAGTATCTCTCTCTTTAATGACTCCTGTCTTACCAATGTTGGTAAGTATTAATTGTTAGATATTTTTGTCTGATACCATACGAGGAAAACACAGATAACTACATTATCGACATGACAATTTTATTTTTAGGCCGAAGCATGCAAGTCTATTGATATGGCAATGAAGAAGTGTTCTAATGGGATGTTGTCTGAAATTAAATATGATGGGGAACGTGTTCAAGTACATAAGAGGGGTTGCGAATTTAAATACTTTAGTCGATCTCTTAAACCGGTGATGGCACATAAGGTTAATTGATTATTTTATAAATCATATATAATTAATGGAAAAAAATATTATTGCAGACAATTATAAGACAAAAAATAATAATTTCAGATAAGACACTTTAAAGATTACATTCCCAAAGCGTTTCCGGATGGCGATGATCTAATTCTCGATTCTGAAATTCTTCTGATTGATAATGAAACTGGAAAACCATTACCATTTGGAAGTTTAGGTAAACATAAGGTAATTGTAACTATGTAATAATTGTCATTGCTATTTAATTGTAGGTTTATACTAAATGTTTGTCTCCAGTTACTTATGTCTACATGTTGCAGAAATCAGAATTTAAGGACGCAAATGTCTGTCTTTTTGTATTTGACTGTATTTATTATAACGGGGAAATACTTATTGATAAGTAAGTCTAAATAGAATAGTTAACTATATATCTTCTGTAAAGTTGTTGATAACGTTTCTTTGATTTTTAGATCCATGCTAGAAAGAAGACAGATTTTGAAGAAGAGTATGACGGAAATACCAAACAGGATAATGTTGTCCGAAGCTCAAGAAGTTCATGTAAATAAATTTATTTTTAAGTCTGTATATCTTTGGAGTCATTATTTTCAAATAATCACTTTATCGTGATTTTAGAATCCCAAAGATCTGGCAGAGATGATCGCTAAAGTTTTGAGATTGGGACTCGAAGGATTAGTTTTGAAAGATATTAAGGTACGTATTCATATTAACATTCATTTTTTTTTAACAAATCATACTATTAATTATTATTTAAATATATTTCTAAACAAATAATTGTAGAGTAAATATGAGCCTGGTAAAAGACATTGGTTGAAGGTAAAGAAGGATTACTTATTCGGTGGTGCAATGGCTGATAGTGCAGATCTCGTTGTTCTCGGTGCTTGGTATGGTACCGGCCAAAAAGGTTCATACATTATTTTCCGTTGATTTTACAGTTTCTTTTTTCTCAAAAAATAATATTACAAATATTTTCTTTTTTTTAGGAGGAATGATGTCTATATTTCTTATGGGTTGTTATGACACTGATAACGATAAATGGTTAACAGTAACAAAAGTGAGCAACTTAAAAGATAAAATTTGAATTGTACAAAGTAAAATTGTAAAATAGAAATGATAAATAATAAAAGATCATTAATTAATTAGGTACATTCAGGTCACGATGATGTAATGTTAGAAGCTCTTCAAAAACAACTTGATATGGTTAAAATAGGTAAAGATCCAAGCAAAGTTCCAAAATGGTTACGAGCAAATAAACCAATGATTCCAGACTTTGTTGCAAAAGATCCAAAGGTGATTAAAATACGTTATGTATCATTTTATTTAAATACTTTTATTCTTTATTAATTATTAATTACTTTTCTACTTGATTTTAGAAACAACCAGTATGGGAAATCACTGGAGCAGAATTTACAAATCAAGGAGTACATACGGCAGATGGAATTAGTATTAGATTTCCACGAGTAACGCGAATTCGCGATGATAAGGATTGGTCTACTGCTACGAATTTAAATGAACTTCGTGATTTATTTAAAAGAAGTTCGGAATCCTTAGATTTTAGTAATTTATTGGGAACCAATAATAATAGGTGAGAATTAACACGAATGAATGAACTTTTGCTTTTAAAAAAACATGGGTTATTAACAATTTATATTTTCTTTTATATCATTTGAATCAAGCGAGAAAAAAAATACCGATGTTGTTGCTTCTACTAGTTCTATGCAAATCAATCAAACTGCAATCTCTACCGAAGCTGCTGTTAAAAAAAATATTTCTCCGAAACAAATTAAAATCGAAGAAACAAGTTTTGACAACGACGAAAATATCCAAGAGGAAGTTAAAAAAGTAGGACCTAAAATTCGAGTTAAAAAAGAATTTCATATTAGTGAACCAAGTACGGATACAAAAAAGACAGATATAAAGAAAAATATTGAAAAGTACAAAGAGAATGTTAAGGAGAAAAAGGAGCCAGATCTTTTCGATGTCAATTATGATCCTGATATAATAATAAAAGAAGAAGTTCGTTTAGATGAAAATTTAAAAAATGAAGAATCCAAAGTAGAGAGTGAAATTGATTTTCAAGAAGATTCATCTGCTAAATATTACTCTTTCGTTGGAAATGACGTATGTATCATTTTTCCTTTTTTGTTGTAATAATTATTTTAAATATTTTTAAATTTGATTAAATTCTATTGGAACGTAAATAAATGTTTTCTTTTCTTTTCTTTTCTTTTTTTTTTTTCAATTTATCGCTGAGACTTGACAACAGTACATCGAATACAACAAAAGAGGAAGCCCTTTAAATTGGATCAAGGATCGAAAGCCGGGAAAAGGATTACCACTTGACGCTCAACCCTTATCTGACAATATGGAGGATGTACTTGTAAGATAACATATCCATATAATACACTTTTACAATTATCAACAACATTGAGCATTCACTTTTCTATATTTTTCTTTTGTTTTGTTTTTGTTTTACCCACAAAAAAAGGTGTTATTTATTTTGTAGCGTTGAAATTTAATTCATATTTAATTACAGAGATCAAAAGGCATTTTCGGGGAAGTTCGTGTCAGCTTGGCGCGAGATATAAAAAAGAAAAGACGAAAACGTCTTTGGCGAGAATTGAAAACGTATCCTTTCGATATTTCAATATTATTTACAAGTTTTTCGATTATATATTAACAATTAATTATAATAGTTTTTTTGCAGACTATTTAAATTAAATTTTTCTTTTTCCAGATTTATTTACTTTAGAAAATAAGTATCTACTACGTCTGAAGTTTTAAACAATTAGCTCAAATAATCTTGAAAATGGATAATTGATTTTTAATATTAGCTGTGAACTTTTGACACGACCTGTATTATAATCCCCTTCTATTCTTTTTTTCTTTTTGTATTTGCGGAATAGCAGAAGTCCACTTATGTTTGAATATTTATGCATGTGACAGTATCGTGATTTACGAATGACATGATCGATACTACATATGCAATATGTATAAACTATTAAAAGCAATGCGTTCAAGTATTCCGAGCTATCGTTATTAAGAGAGTTTTCCAAATAAAATAAAAAAATAAATAAAAAATAGAAAAGGAAGAAGATAGAGAGAGATGGCGGTAAAGAGGGAGAGAAAGAGAAAGAGAGAAAATAAAAAATATGGAATACGTGCAAGAACGTAATATGATCGAAACTTTTTGACAGTACACACACGTACGTGTGTGTGGGTGTGTATATAAATTGTAATTTTTTTCGAATGAATATAATTAAATACGCGAGCGTGTCTATATATTCTCTAAAATTTTTATTAAAATTGATTAAGCTAGGTAACTGGAATACAACATTCTAGGTGTATAATAATTTTTAACATAAAACATTAAATTAAATATATCCTTTTAATATAAGAATGAAACGAATATAGAAATATATACATATATTCTTATTTTTATCGTTATTTATTTTCTTCTTAGGTGTTCACATATACGTTGTACGTGGTTTATAATAAAAATCAAATAACAATAGCTATTAGACACCTTTTAGGTAAACTTTATTAACGTAATGATATATTTGATGAGAGAGTAATTTGATCTGTTCAAGCATACATAAGATAGAAATTTGTTCGATGATTTAGTATATATACATCTAAGTGTGTATAATTAATGTAATTTTATGGTTCTCTTGTTCTCTCTCTCTCTCTCTCTTCTTCTTTTTCTCGTCTCCTCCTATTTTCATTTGGAATGATGAATTACATGTTTGGTCTAATTGTAAGTAATTTCATCTGGTTGACCATAGTGGAGAGTAGAACATGCTTGATGAATTACTATACTTAAGTGATATATTGTAGAATTATTCTCTCTCTCTCTCTCTCTCTCTCTCTCTCTCTCTCTCTCTCTCTTTTTTTCTTATTTTCATTCAGAATGACAAAAGTTTTTTATGTCAAGCTTTGTGTTTCGTTATGAGTAGTTTTAAATTTTGTTAATTATTCTAAAGAAGAAAGGAAAGAAAAAGAGAACAAAAAACAAAATTAGTAGTTTCAAGGATAACAGATTTAGAAACTCTTGGTAAAAAAATTTGATTTGCAGTATTCAATTCCTTGAGAAATTTTAAAGTGAATAATATTTTTATTAATATTTTGTAAAAATGCGTATATATTGTTATTAGCATAAACATTTAAGTGAGGCATATTTTCCTTAGTAAAAATTACGAAATAATCAGACTGGGAGCAGTTATTTTGAAAGATTCGGATCGATGCATGTCTACTCATGTGATTCACGATCGTAAAGAAATTCCATCGACAGTTCTGAGGGTTTGTTAACTATTATTTTTGTTTACTAATATTGATTAATGTAGACATTTTTCGTATGTTTTAATATCATTTATTATTCCAGACATCTTTTATATCATTAACATTTATTGATTCAGATATTTTATACGTTTGGAATTTTGATATTTATTATTTTAATAGGATCTTAATCACATTCGAATTTTGGCGCGAATTTGTTTCTATCTTCTGATTGGATGGTTACGAAAAGAGCGGCAAATTTAATCGATTCTCTCATATATGGGATACGACACTAACAAGATTAATCATAGAATTAATTCCGAAGCCATTATCGAGGTGCTTCATCGTTTAATAGTTTCCCTAGCCTACAAGATGTCTGCTGGATTTAATCATCCATGACCTATGCCAATTAACCTTTACACGATGTTCTAGCAATTACCAAATAAATCCCATAACCCTAGGAAGTCATAAATTAGAACACATATTCAATATTCATAGATTTTCTCATAGATACGTTTCTAAATTATTTACAATAAGAATTTTTACCAATAATCAATGATTGTTATAAACATTCTTTATTTTTTTTTTTTGTTAATCAAGCATGCAGGTTTTTGTAAAATTGTTTTATTAAAGATAACATTATAAAGTATTTTGTTTACTGAAACATTTTTTAATATTTTATTATATCTAAATACTTAGTACTTTTTATACTGAAAATTTCGACATTACTCGTTGGACAATTTAATATTTATATAGAATTTCGAAATAAATGAAAATATACGTATGTATTTATTTTATGATATATATGCATTATATGGTATATAGTTAAATATTTTTATAGGATTTTCAAGACGTTCCGAAAAGTGCAAGACACGTAAACTCGTCCTGGTTGGAAGAATCAGCTGCGTCATCGGAAATGAAGGATATTTATTCGTACGCGGTAACACTAGTTGCGGATTATTGTAATTGTTCTTGCACCTGTTCCCATCGATGATGAACGAGCTTCAATCGGAAATATAATTTTTTATTATTTTCTCTTTTTACCGATTAATCAAACTTCCATACATTTTATAGATATTTTATTATTGAAAGTAAATATTTTTATTCGTAATAAAAAAACAAAAACGAGTAGAAATAATATGATAGATAATGTTTAAATTTTTAATTGATCGGTCGTTACTTCGAATATTATGAAATTTACGCATCTTATTTTATAAACAAATAATCATTTTTATTTATTTAATGTAAGTTGAAATAAAAATAATGCTAGGTGATGCCATAAAAGTTAAAATCCAATTTAGAAGCCATGTGTGAAACTGAATGTCCTGAACGGAAAATTTTATATCGCGAAATTTTAATTAAGACACACCAAAGGTAACTATACACTTGTACGGTTTAAAGGATGAAATGAATTAGCCAAAGTTAATGAAACTTTTTGCGAAACTGTCGCGTATCAAGACAACGAGAAATGAAAAATGGAGAAACAAATTTGAGTTTATCTTATTAAAATGAGATTGAATTGTTAACATTTTCCATGCAAAAATACCTTGGAATAATTTATATATATATATATATATATATATATATATACTTTATGGATACATAGAATATTTATTAAAACATAATTATTGTATTACGATATTTATCTGATAGGATTAATTAGAGTTAATAATAGTAATAACGAAATATTATCAGATCTTTTTAAAACAATAATTAAATGCATATGGATTAATTTTATAAATATGATAATTAGGTATACATGTTATTCTTTATTAAACCATTAATTAAATTTTATATACAGAAATATTTTCTTTCTATACAGAAAATAATCAAATAAGATTTGATGGAAATAAATACTTTATTAATGTTCTTTACTTATACCTAATATAGAATCTTAATTATAACATAAATATATATATATTTTTTTAATACCGCTTTTTTTTTCATTAGACATTAACATTAAAACTTATTCAACCAACCAATTTTATCTTTAATTTATATTATTTAAGTACGAATTCATTGCATATACGCTATTAGTACATTCCATTATTTTTGTTTAAATAAATTCATTAAAAATAACAATAGAGTCGTATAATTAATTCTGAAGGTTCCAAATAAGAGATTATTATTTTTTTTATTTATAATAATTATTATTTCCAATACGTTAATCTCAGATTGAACGAATCTCACATAATGATTAGTAAATATTTTATTAATTTCCTTATTTCTAACAGGAAGAGAGAGAGAACAAATAATTCAATTCAAATACGATATGTGTATTTCGCTAAAAACTACTTTAGCTTTCTTAGAGAGAGAATACATTGCACAGATGATGATCGATATTTTTTTTTTCCTAACATCCGCTAAATTTATTTACTTTTTATTATTCCCCGAGTAAAAAGAAGAAAAAGAAATCAAGAATGACATAAAAAAAAATGATTGATTTTCCCAACGAGAGGAAACAATCTTTTTTTTTTAAACCGATTAATCATTATCATTTTTACTATTTATTAAGAAAAAAAAAATTAAAATATATATATTTGCATAAATTTTCTATTTAATTACTATCGACAATAATATTCATGTTAAATACATTTTTACGAATAAATAATTTGTGAATTACGGATGCTAGAATGATTGCAATTACATAAGATATAATTAATTAATTGTTTTGTTTTATCGAAGGTTTTTCTTTCTCGTGATAATTATTTGATTTTTCTCAAGTTAACACTCGAATAAGATAAAAGGTAGAAGAGATAGATTTAGGGAGTGGGGAAGAGGGAAAGTCGAATTTTTGTTTCCTCTTTTTGTTATTTATGATTTCTTTTCTTTTTCATCATTTTATTATTATTTTGTTGTTGTTATTGTTGATTTATTTGCCAAAGCAGGATACCGCATTGAAAGCGCATTGTTTCCAATAACTTCGCTTACGTTGAAGATCACCAATGTCCAGCTGATTTCTAAGTCGTTGTACAATTTGTTTCGTAAAGAGATAATTAATTAGGGCCGCGTCGATGCTACCATCCTCATCCACCAACTGAAAACAGAGGAACATAAATGTATCGGAATAAACAAATAATTACTTCTCTTTTTTGTTTGTTGTATTTTTTTTAATAGCTGATATTTAGCTGTGCCTTTTTTTGTTCAAAAATTTTTGGAAAAATATCTTACTATATATAGTCGATATTTATTCTGTTTCAATCTATTACATATAAATAGAAGTTTATATTAATTTATATAACATATAAGATATATAATATACTATTATATTCTTTGAGAGAAGTCGTACGTCACATGTGTAAAATGCAACAAAAAATTATTTTCTCTTACAGTCTATTTTCTCTATTCTTTTGAAAATTTTTTTAGAAAAAAATAGATAAAACAAACACCACAAATTTTACCGTGCCAATAGTTATACAATCCGACCACGATTTTTCATAAAAATAAAATATAAATAGACACCAAGGTACTTATTAAAAACAAATATCAATTTTTATACGTGTTTATTTTTCAATAGAAAAAAAAATAAAGATTTCTTTTCGTTCGAATCAGTTGGGCTTTAGAAAATATTCTATAAGTGAAATAAAATAAAAAAAAATGTTCTCACCGAGTAACTCACAAATTGTATAAACTCGAAATCAAATTTTCAAGAAATTCCTTTTATCGTAAGTTATCTCAACTGTTCTAAAGTAGAAAACACGTTAAATTTCTATCTCTCTGATCGAGAAAAGCTTTTAAATCAGCGTAAACTTTGGTAAAAGTTTCCAATATCGATAGTGTTAGATGGATATTGTGATAAATTATTTGTATGTGATTACAGATTTCTATGACGTAATGAAGATTGTCTGAAGAAAATGAAGTTTGCGTTTATTCTTATAAGTAATTTCCTTCTAAACACGTTCCTTTACTTTGGAATACGAATTTAATTAATGTAAGATATCGATTGTGTTAGTTTACTTACACACACACATACACACACACATAAACGCGCGCGTATTCCCATAAACATTAGCATACCTTTACTACCACTATCACTATTGCAATAGAAACGTTCATTTTATCGTAATAATATTATTATTATTGCAATTAAATTTGCATAATATTAGACATACGTACGCCAAAATTCAATTTATATATATATATATATAATAATTACATGGGATTACGTTTAATTTATACATTCCACACATATTTCCAAAATAGTTACATGTTCGATTCATAAATTCCAATTTATATACACAAACGCAAAATGTTCGTGATAAATTATTATTCAAATTATACAAAAAAAAAAAGAAAAAAGAAATTTCTTTTCTTTCTTATATTATTTTTGTCCAATTTTTTCTTTTACTTTTTATATGTAATTAATTATCCATTCGCGTCATATCCTTTTTCTTAAGAAATTAATTACCACGATCCAGCAGTCAACTCGTGTAATTAGACTTACCTTCAATTAATCTACTAAAATATAAATACGTCTAATTCGTATGTTTAATATTTTTATAAATATAAATTATTATCTCAACTTCTCAAGAAAAAACTGATTTCTCCTTTAGTCCAAGTTTTATTTTTAATTCTTCAAAATTTTAACAATCTTTCCACACATCCTATCCTTTTCCTAAGAATTTAATTATCAAAACTCAGGCAGTCAGCATATATAAATATGTCTACTCACATTCAACTCATATACCTAGGTAACATATAATATATTTACTCTAATGTATATTTAAACTTAAATGCATACATAGACATTATCACATTAAATGCGATAAATTATTATTAAAACGTTTAATAAAAAAAAAAAAAACATTTCATTTTTTCTCTAATCCAAAAATTGACTTTTTCTGTTATTTAAATTGAATAATCTTTCCGAGGATCATATACTTTACTTAAGAATTTAATAATTGAAACTCATCAGTTAGTATAAATAAAAATATACTCATATTTAACTCGTATATATATATATATATATATATATATATATATATATATTTAATTTATACAAACAAACACACACAAACAAGATAAATTATTGTCAATTGTTAAAAAACAAAAAAAAAAGCTTATATTTTCCGTCGTCTTAGTTTTCTCTTTAATTTTTTTGTTTTGCCATTTTTTTTAAAACATAATAATAATTAACACGTTATATTATTTTCCAGAGAAATAAATTACCGTCTCTCAAATTACATCTTGAAAAGATACACCGCGTGACATTTCCTTCGTCGGCCTCCCCCTCCCCCTTCCCCCCAAACCCTCTTGTATCGTCGTCGTTACCATCTTTCCAACCCTTTCGTTAGAATTCTGAAACTCGTTTTGTTTTGCAAGGAAAGTTTGAATGCAGTTACGTAGCGATAACGAGAATAAGGTTAAAGTCTGTTAGCTTGAACGAAAACGATTCGCATTTGAACAGCTTGAACTTCTAGTTTCGTTCCGTGAAATTCTCTTGTCTTCTTACAATTAGATACACATGTATATAAATATATTACGCTCAATGCATCTTTGTTAATATATATGAAAACTTAAATTTATACTAACGATATTATGACATTATTCTTACAACATTATTTTCATTTAAACATTATCAGAGAAATGTATTTACACCGGGCAAGAAAACTTTTACGAAAACTATTTTTATTCTTATTTATTTGGACATATCGCGAATAGCAAAAAAAAAAAAAATACAAATATTATTCCTCAGTATTGTTATATTAATATAAGAACGATTCAAATAATTAGAAATAAATTAATAATACATAGGGAATAATAATTCATTTGATCATACGAATAAATTTTGAATAATATCAATTTCAAATATACATAATTTATAAATAAATGATCAACTAATGGCAAATAATTGCGATTAATATTGACGTACCAATTATTATCATATAGAATTGATAAAAAAAAAAACAAAAAAAGAAAAAACATATCGAATGGATCATATGGGACAACCAAAAATGGGATAATTAATTTGAACTTGAAAGAAAAGAAAAGAAAAAAAACACAAATATAGAAAATTCTAATTGCAAACGATCTGTAATCTATCCAAATTACGAATAAAAATAAATCGAATGATCTCTATTACGATCCAAAGTCGGATCTAAATAAAATAGAATAAAAGAAAGAAAAATGGAGAGGTGCAAAAGTTATATAGCATCCCTTTCCTTCCCTTTTTTTGTTTTTTATTTCGTGACAATGTCTTTCTTTGCTGGAACAACAAAACGAATCCATATACAATAGGAAGGGGTGGTGGAGGGATGGTGGGTGAGGTTAGGGGAGGGTTTAGAGGGTTTAGTTTTACGATAGTATGACGTAAGCGAAAAACTGTCGATCTTTATGAGGTATTTGTTCACTCTATATATCTCATTCACGATCCTTCCTACTTGTTACAGTTATTACCTAATCTCAAATCTCAATGGACCATCTAAAGGTCTCTAAGTCGATCTCTTACGTTTGTTTTTCTGACAAGTCTCCCCCTCCCCCTACCTCTTCACCACACCATCCATCTCTTCTTCTTCTTCTTTCTCCTCTTGCCACCCTTTTTTCATCCATGAAACCATTCACTCTCTTTCTCTTTTTCTTTCTTTTGCATCAATTCATACAATATATCGACAGATTGAAGCAGTCGTAAACATTCTTGTCAACTTTTCATGTTAACTTTCCACGATAGATGTTTCTTTCATTTAAATTGATTGCATCGATTATTCACGACAGTTTCGTAATTGTCAACATTTCTTCTCTGCTCTCTCTCTCTCTCTCTCTCTCTCTCTTCTTTTGTATATTTTTATTATTTAATATAATATATTTTATTTATTTTATATTTTATATATTATATATTCTTTTTATATATAATATATTTATTTAATTTTCTTTTTTCATATGTTTTTTTTTTTTATCAAATTGTTCGTTTAACATTCTTGATTCCTTTTAGTATTCTTAATATGTATTTACCGAATGATCGAACAACCAAGAAAGTTTTTTCTTACGTAATACATATACGTAACAAATCATATTGGGTGATATTTTTTAATCGAGATTTTCTATTTCGAAGCGAGATCAACGAAACGAAAGTTAATTCGTATATATAACGTAATAAAGATTATTTCTATTTCATATTATATTTAACGTATATATAATATAATGGTGAACCAAAAGTTCGTGAATTTTTTTTTTTTTTTTTAATTAATATTTCACTCGGATATAAAGTAATTTTATTGAATTCAACAAAATTGCATTATCTGAAACAACACGAATATAATATTAGCGCGAACTTTTTGTTCAATCCTAATATTTTAAAGCTCATATAATACTATTACAATTAAGACTAGATTAATATGTTGATCCCGTGATTAAGAGATTACGTTTGACGACAATTTGTTATCGTATTAACGCGATTTTGTTTGTTAATTATTAAATTAATTATCAAACGAGATTTTGTATCAGAATTTTTTCGAAAAAATAACAACAACACCAACAACAACAATTACATCTTAAACCTTTATCCCCGTTATTGTATTCCTCTATAATCTTTTTATTTCTTTTCTTTTTCACCTAATCTTTTACGAGCAATCACGAAGGAAGTACAAGAAAAAAAAAGAAATTGGAAAAGCCGGAAGGTCGAGGAATTTCTGATTGATCTAATAATCGATAATCCTGTCGCTCGTAGACAATCAGATTTTAACAGATGTCAGTCCGATTTCTCGTAAGCGTTAATACCAAAGAGCTTATAAACGTCATACCGACATTTTTCCTGTTACCTGAATCTGCTCTGCCTCTTTTTTTTTCTTTTTTTTTTTATCTTTTTCCATTTCTTTCAACTATGAATTTTCTTTATTAACATTCAATATTCAACGAATCAACCAACAAAATACAACGTAAATAGATATTCATGAAATACTATTGTAAATCGATACTTTTTCGTGCCCTGTTAAACTTATCCTTCTTTTTTTTATTACAAAAATAATTTAAATAATTAAATAATAATTCGTAAAATATATGAGAGAAAAATAGTAATAGTTTCGGACGATGTGAAAATGATTTACGATCCTCGTCATTAGACAAACACGATAATGAACGTAGTAAACTAGTTTTTTGTATTTTCCAAATGACATTATTGCTTCGAAAACAAGAAGAGAGAGAAAGAGAGAAAAAGAGAGAAAGAGAAAGATAAGCATATGTATGAGATATACATGATACAATTTGATGGATATATATATAATTGTTTCGTAGTTTCGATGATAAAAAGAAAACATGATTATCACGCGAATAAAGAATAAAGTTTGACTACAAAGTAGTAGATACACGACAAAAGACAAAAGTTTTATTAACGAGAAGATAAAAAAAAAGAAAACCGTAAAATAAAACCGAAATGTCTATTTATAACAAATTAAAATATTATTGTTAATTTCCGAAACTGTGTGTTATAAGTAACGAAAACGATATACGAAACTGATTTTCAACTGTTGCGTAAAATATTAATTATATAACTCATTATAGGTAGGTTCGTTGTATAAACGGAAATTACGTTATTGTTAGCTCTAATACTCATTTTCTAACGGAAAAATCATATTTGCGAATAATTCTACGTATTATTAGTTACGTCAGTTCGTCGTACGTTTATTCATTTCATTCCCACGCGAAGTAGAATTAAATTTCAATATTGTTAATCCGAAAAAAAAGAATGTTTGTTAAATTGTACGAAAAAAACTATGATCGATCGAAGGTATCCATTTCTTTTTTTCCTCTTCTTTTTTTTCTGTTCGATTGACAAATTTTCTTCGACAAACATACCTGTTGCAAATCAGTGTAATTTTAATCAAAATTACATTACTATTTTTATATATATTTTTTATTTTTCTAATAACGTTTATATACGAGAAAGAATTAATTTTTTAAAATAATCGTTAGCGATTTTTAACTATGATCAATAAAATATTATATATACTTTAACAAGTAATATATAAATATATCAATTAAACAGGGATAGAGATAAAGTAAGCGTATAGAATCTTTTTCTGTAAATAATCCACGCAACAGGTTAACTCCCCTTATACTCGTTTCTTTTTATTTTTTTCTTTCTTTTTTTTAATCTTTCAAGCGCTTTAATACAGATATCCAATCAAAGGATTTTATTCTTTCAAAGATTTGACAAGCTTTTTTTAGTGAAACATTGGAAAGAATTCTAAGAATCTATTTTAAGTATTGTTAAGTCCATTGAATGTTAGATATCTAGGGTAATGACAAAGTTATTTTAAATTCTCTTTCATCCACACATACACACACACACACATATACGTGTGCATAATCAACGTCTTTTAATGAAGCGTAATTCACATAAGCGACGTTAAATAATTTCACATAAAGCATGCGATATTCGAGGATTCGATTAATCTCTCCAACTTGAGCTTGTGATCTTCGATTTTATTTTTGAAAACAATGAAAAAAAAATAACGATAAAATATATATATAATATTAACTTAATTAATGTATATATAAAATGAATGAAACGAAAGAGAATGATACAATTATTTCAATGAAGCTTTTAAAAGATATAGAAGTAGTATATTATATTCATTTATGTATAAAAAATAATATATATTTAATATTATATTTATATATAAAATAAATACACGTGTAGGTGATTCTACACCCATACACACACATATACATACACTAAAGACTATATATGAGATAATAGTGTTTAATAACGTTGTGTTTAGTAACACGACAATCTTTTAAATTATTATCAAAAATTGCAAAACCTTCGGCTTGATTTTAATGATGCAAAATAGATAGATCGATCTCGTTACTTCTCCGTTATAAGTGGGAAAACGAAATAAAATAATAAACTATAAATAAA